AAATTCTTACAATCTAAAACTGTTTTCTTCCTTGGAATAAATTGGAAAAGGGTAAGCCGTAAAAAACAAATGAATCAAAATTTTTTTTTTTTTTGAGTTGTCACCCTGACATCAGTAGTAAGAGTAGCTTATGATGTCATCAAATTTTGGGTAAAGTTCCTTAAAAAGGAATTACTTAGAAAATATCGTGCAAATATGCATCTATTTTAATGTTTTGTGTCTAATAAATAGAAATATTTCAATGTAACAGGAGGAATAACGTATTTAATGACTATTTCTGCTTAATGTAACGATTTCTTTCTTTTGCTTAAGCAACACTGACGTTAGTAGGGGAGTTGATTAAGTTTTTATCAAATCTGAATACAGTTGCTAATAAAAAAAAATCCATAGGTTACTTTTCTGATCTGAACTAAAAAAAACAAAAAAAAAAAAACATTACTCTCTCCTTGGCAAGTTTATAGTAAAGACGAAGCTGATAATAATAATCTACAACTCATAACATTAGGAAAACAATAAGGAGATGCCTGAGTTGTGAGTTCGGTCCTCACTAGGGACACCATACAAAATTCCCTATTTTCTTCTTATACATTGTATTGAGGATTCTTTCTGGATTTTATAGAATAAATTAAAATATGAAAAGAAAATGTTTTACCGTATATAATCGTGTATAGTGTGAATTGTTATGGTAAGTTTTTAACGCAAAAATAGTCAGGGGATCACACAAATAATTTTTTGAAGAGGTTAAAAATCATGCATTTTCAGTGATCGATTACACAATACACAGATAAAATTTTATAGAGCCGGGGTTAAAATTCATCCCCCAAAATTCAGGGGTTATATATGAAGTCGACTTATACGCTAGTATAAACAGTATTTTGAAAATTTGAACTAAATGCCTAATTCCAAAAATGCATTTGTAAGTTTCAATAATTCAAATACGCGAAAAATAGATTTCATTTTATTTTTAGTGCGATCTTTTAAAGTCATTTAGGAACTCCTTTTACGTTGCATTCGATGAACAAGGAGGTTATTGTGATATTTTCATACATTTCTATCACATTGATTACCGTCTTTAGGTGCTTCTAATTTACACAAATATTATGACAAGAATCAGAATTTCGTCGTAATGACTTTGACAGAGGTATTCAGATAGCTATTTGCTAATCCCCAAAATGTCACTTGCCACTCGCTAAATATTAAGAAAATAAAACAATGCGGGGGCGGGGGCGGGGGGCTAAAACAGCCAGGTATGCTAAGAAAGCGTCGTTAACAAATCAAGGTAAAATGCCTGTATTTAAGAGGTTCGACAAAACTGCAATGGACGTGATTACTGATGGTGACCAGTTTGCAACGAGAGGAGTTGCGGACTTGTTGCTAATGAGGATGAAGACTTTCAAAACAAACTAACGTTTTCAGCTGACATGAAGTGGAAAGAGTTTATTGAATCAACTGCTAAGCCTGCAGCTCAGAATATATGTTCACTATATCGTGCTAGACTTTTTTTTCATCAGAAACTGTCTTATATATTTATAAGTCTGCTATTCGACCTTGCTTTGAATATTGTTGCCACATCTGGTCTAGAGCTCCTGCCATATATTTAGAGATTATTGATGAAATACAAAGAAGAATCTGCAATGTTATTGGTCCTGACTTGGCATTTCGGCTTCAGCCGCTTTCCCACCGCCGTAACATAGATTCCCTGTATCTTTTCTATAAAAACTTTCATGGTATAGTGTAACCCGGATATAAGAGACCCGGATATAAGAGAAACCCGGATATAAGAGAGATTTTCTCTGGTCCCAAATTAGAACCTGTGTTAATGTATATAAAATAGACCAAACCCGGATATAAGAGACTTCTTCTCCGGTCCCGACAACTCTCTTATATCCGGGTTACACTGTAATTATTCTGATGAACTTTATATCATTTTCATTCATCTCCCCCTACCACAGACAAATTGTACAGGTGAGAACTAGTCAGGACTTTACAGAGACTTGAGGTATCATGGTGACTGTAGTAAGAATGGTAAAGGTATGTGTTGTTTTGGTGTAAGGAATACTCTGGTAAGTTTGGGTCAGTAATTGTAGCTATATATGTTTCAGATAAGACAGATTGAAGACCAGCCTTCACCTACCCAACTTTTGGCCCTGTACCACATTTTTGTATCTTTCAAAATAAATATCACTTTCCTCTATGGTAACTAAGCTTTATGAATTTAAGCGCATTACTAGATTGGCGGTAAGGTCTCACCAATTTACATTTGAAATGGCTAGATGTAATCGTAAGTTCGATGCTAACAGTTTCTTCTATTGCAATTCTCGCTTGTGGAACTCTTTTTTGAATTCTTGCTTCCCAATCAAGTATGATCTTCAAAAATTTAAATGCTATGTCAATCCTTATTTTCTGTCTTCTTAATTCTTCTTCTTTTAATGTCCCCTCCTCTTAATATTAGTTTTTCTCATATTCTCTGGCACTCAGTAACTTAGTGTTTTTATTTCCTTGCTTGGGGTGAAATGATAAAAAAAGAATGAATTTAACATTATCAAAAGAAAGGAATTCAATACGTGAGAGAGACTTATACATATTTCTATAGCGAAAAACATAGCTACCAGAAGAAGAGAAAGATAAAATTATATTTATATATCTACAGTTAATTAAAAAAAAGAAATAAAACATTTAAATACTATAGTGTGTGTGTACATATGAAGGGCCACGTAGAAGTGTGAAATTAAGAAGTCTGTTGCCAAGAAAAAGTCTTGTTGTTATGTCTTCAACATCCAGGAAAAGCAAAAGGAAGGGTTTATGTCTTCCCTTTCTTACTCCTGAACAGAAAGACACCTAGTGGATGGGATGTGGTGCCTAGCGACACTTAGCAAACAAGGTGGAATAATTCACACGCGCTAAAAATAAATAATATGGCATCACATATGTGCGGTTTATTTTCGCATCAACTTCGCAATAACTGCGTGAGTTGTAAGCTGAATACTGCGCGTTTTAAATTTCCTCGATATAAACGCTTTTCTCAACATTACTCCCCAGATAAATAATAGCAACAAATATTTAAAAGTTTGTTACAAAGTCGGGAGTATTTTCTCGTTCTAATCTAAGAGAAACTTTTTTTTTTTTTTTAGGTAGAGAAGAGAAATACAAAACGATGTTTCGTTACGCATTGCAGATAGTAAATTTAATGAGAACGAAAACAAAAAGACCCCAAAAAACGATGCTTTTGCTTTGTTCACAAATTAACGGTTTTGTCATCTTTTGATCTTCTGTTACTGCTTGCAGTTTAAAAGGAGGAGAGGGAATGCGACAAACCACAAATGGCTTCCATTTCCGTTGCATTTTGCTCGGGTATTCATTAAACGATTATCAATCATTTAGTCAAAACATTAATTTTATATTTTTAATGTCGGGTCGTTGCGTTACACTGACGAATACAATTATTTTGTTTATCTTAGTCTGAATGCGATGTAGAGATACGCTGTTTCATTTCAAATAAAAATGTATTTTAAATGAGTGCATCATCCATTTTGTTTTGCGTTATGACTAACGCCTCGTTCTGGATGAGTGGATAGTCAGCTGGTCTTAAATATCTACTGGACTGAGTTCGATCCTCGTTAAGGACTTTATATGTTTTTTTTTTTAATCTTTTGCCTTACAAAGATAACTTTGGTAAATACTATAAACTGTCCAAAAGTTCGCGGAAGAATAGCGTATCAATATATCTTTTGTTTATTCATTTCTCCCCAGTCAAGGCGATAATACAACTAAGATGCAAAGGGTTACTGAGAGTAAAACAAAAACGAGAAGACATTAGTGAGAAGACAGCAGGAAAAAAAAGAACAAGATTCAGGAAAACGTTATGGTGATTGGTAAGCTTCAAAAGTGGGGACCTGGACCCCCTCTTCCTAAACAGGAAACAAGGAATAAACAGCTGCTTCTGTTCAAATGATGAGGAATGTGTGTGGACCGTACGTTAGCTGAACATATCTACTCCTATTTGCGAACCTATCTACTCCTATTTGTAGCACGGACTTTGCTGCTGCTGTTTGTGAGCGATTTATTTTGAGAAACATATTTTCCTAAAAAAATGTTTCAAACGAAAGATTTTATAAATTTCAACCGAAACTCGCGCCGGCTGCTTACTCAATCAATTCTGAATGTTTCATTATAAGGAAACTTACCATTTAGGTATGTTCCTCCATTCAATTATTTGGTGAGTATAAAAGAAACGAGGCACGGTGGAGTAATGGATAGTGGTTCGGACTGATGAATCGGAGAGCCGAGTTCGAATTCCAGTCGAATTCATTACGTTCACTTACGTGCTCATACTCTTGAGAAAGGTATGAATCCTCTTCTTCTCCCCCCCCCAGATATGGGTAAATAGCTGGACAGACCAGGTTCTATAGCCTTTTTATGGCAACTGGTGTACCGCAGAAAGAAATGGCAACCTACTGAGGGGCAAAAAGTTTGCTTCGTCAGTCATGTATCGAAAGATACATGATTGCTCAAGCGTGTATTACGCATGACATATATGAGTATTACATTATGACATATACGTGTATTACGCATGACATATATTATCACATGACTGATAAGAGAAAACAAAGCAAGAAAATTGCATTACAATACGAGGAATGAATGTAGTTTTGATTTATTTCGTGTAAGACTATTTTACTTAGAAAAACAACAACAAAAATAAACAGAAGCAGCTCTTGCATCATTTTAACTTCCGGCTTTTTAGATTGCCTAATAACAGACTGGACGGAAATCTGAACACGCAGTGGGACAATTCAGAAAGTGAGAAAGAGAATCGTACAATTCCTTCTGTGACTCACGCACGCGTTAATTTTCCGGTCTCGGCTCAAGTTTTCGAATTCTGGACGGCAAGTTAGAACAACAGCATCAACAATCAGCATTCACAACAATGGAACAAAAGCTAACAACGGCGGCTATCCAGTGATGTGTTGGACCGTCATCAAAGTGTGCTTCCGTCACAAATGGACACAATAGAAGAAAGGGTCACCGCAGCATTGCAATCGTCCCCTTTTTCTACATCAGGCCCACTACCCACAACAACCTTACAGCTCCAGTTCCTGCCTCACCCTTATCCGGATTTTTCGTATTCACCCTGGTTCTTCTACTCCTCTTCTTCCTCCGTCCCTCAGTGGCAAGGGAACGTTAGCGGTTCTTGCGATATTGCAGCGTTGTTAATCATACGGCTTTTATGGCAGGTTCGAGCAAGAAAAATACCAAATGACCACCCATGATTTCTCACGAGGATTCAACTAATCTATGTCTTTATTTCGTCCTTCAAATCATTTAATATACTTTCCCGGGGATAGTATATTGTTTTCTAGACCGGACAGAAAAGCCTGGACAGTGAAGTGCAGCCAGGCCGCAGGTCTGGAAATTGGACTGATCTTAGTAGTCTACGCTTGTTCATACACGCCCATCCGTTACCACATCGACCACATTCTCATCCTTAACCTCCTATTTCCTTTCTTCTGACCTTAGTTCTACTCATGTTCAATTCTTCTGGCTTTCAATCTCTCTTGCCATTTCATTTGCTTCGTTTTTCTCCTTATTTTCTCGTTGTCTTTCTTTCATTCTATCGTTTCCCTATTCCTCTTCCCCAGTCTACGCATTCAGTCAGCTCTTTTTAACTTGTTCATCATCTCAATTTTACCTTCTCTTGTTTTTCGTTTTGATAATTCTGTTCATCAATAATGGCCAACCCACTCCATCGCATTATCTTTTTCTATGTCTTAATTTTTTCTTTGCTTACTTTCTTTCATTTCTTTCTCTCACTTTCCAACTCTCTTTCTTTCTTTTCTTTCTTTCTTTCTTTTTTCTTTCTTTCTTTCTTTCTTTCTCCATCGCTGTCTCACTTTATTTGTTTATTTCTTTCTTTCCTTTTTTCTTGTCTCCTTTTCTCTTCCTTTCTTTATCTCTCGTTAACAGATTTTCTTGATTTTCTCCTCAGTTTTCTATTGTCTTTCTTCCGTTCTTTCTCTTTATCGCTTCCACTTTTCTTTCTTTCTTTTTTTCTTTCTTTCTTTCTTTCTTTCTTACCCACATTTTAATTTTTGTTTTCTTACTTTACTGTTTCCTTCTTTTCCCACATTTTTCTCTCTTTCCTTCCTTTATCTTTTTTCTTTGTTTTCAACTTAATTTTTCTCTGCCTTCTTTCTTTCTCTCTCACTCACTCTCACATTTTATCTTTCTTTCTCTCTCACTCACTCTCACAGTTTATCTTGTTTTGACGCTAACTTCCTTCACTTCTTATTGTTTTTACTTCTTTTCTCAATCGCTGATCGCTCAATGGTGATTTTTCCTCGCATTTTAACTGAATCATGTTCTACTGCATTTCTTACTTTGATTTCCACTAATTGTTTTGTATCTTATATTTATTTAAACTTTTCAGTTCACTCACTCAGTCACTTCTGACGACTTCTTTTAAACTTAATTCTGTCGTGTTTTGCCTTCACTTTCACAGTTTTCTCCTTTGCCGCTGTCCTGCCCCCCCCTTTTTTTAAAATACGTTCATTTCTTTACATCTTTCTTTTTGTTATAATTCTTATGTCAATAACTCTTCTTTTTCTTTCTATTTTCATCTTTCTCGTATTTCCAGCCTCATTCCTCTTCTTCCTTTTATTTCAAACTTTTGTCCATCTGTTACTGTCCTCTCACTTGTTCAATTTCGACCCCCATTCTTCTTTTTCTTCTTCTCATTCTCATACTCCTGTTTACATCATTTTGTTTATATTTCCATTGTCTTCATCTTTTATTAATAGCATTTTTATTTTCATTTTCATTGTTCTGTTTTCAAACCTACTTTTTATTTGCTTTTATCCCATTTTTCATTGCCTTTTTTCTTTATCTCTATCGCTTTCTTCCACCTATTTTCATTATCTTTTTTTTTTTACTTCTATACCTTTCCACACCCTTTTGTCACTTTCTTTTTTTTTTCTGTCTTTCTTACCCTCATTTCATTGGGGTTTTTTTATCTTTATTTCCATACCTTTCTTTCCTACTTTTTATTCTCTTTTTTATTTCTATCCTTTTCTACATCTTTTTTCATTCTGTTTTCTTAATTTCTATCCCTTTCTTACCCCTCTTTTTATCGTCTTTTCCCTTTATTTTCTACCCCTTTCTTCCTCTTTTTCGTTCTTATTTGTTTATTACTATCCCTTTCTTCCTCTTTTTCGTTCTTTTTCCTTTATTTCTACCCCTTTCTTGCTCTTTTTCGTTCTTATTTGTTTATTTCTATCCCTTTCTCCTCCCCTCTTTCCATTGTCTTTTTTGTTTATTTCTATTCCTTTCAACCCCCTATTTTCATTCTCTTTTTTTATTTCTACCCCTTTC